CAGATTGTATGCTGACTCTGTAAACTGCTTAGAAAGCACTGTGAAGCGGTAGATAAGTCTATGTGATATTGCTATTGCTATTAAACCAAAACTCCTGACAATGGTTGATTGGGCTGTTTGACCCACTTAGTTTTCCCATGGCATAGTAACCCTTGAACTAGTTAAATATGTTACTGGAGCATGCCCAATGAATAATAATTTGTTCTCTGCAAATGAAATAATGATGAGTTAATTGTATTTAATTCTACTATAGAGCATCATGATAAGGAAGCAGGCTTAAATCCAAGAGAAAGAGGGGAGTTCATATTATATTTCTAAGATTTCATATATCTTTAAATTGAATGATTGTATTTCTTTTTCATGCATGCAGTTGAGACATTTAAGTTATAAGTTAAGTTTTGAGTATGAATTCTCGGTGTTGTTAAATGGATATACAGATAAAAATACAGTGTTACACTGTCTTATTTTTATACAAAAATTTTAAAGTAGAGACTGGATGCCCCCAGTCAAGAATCTTGTACCAGTGGGGGGGGGGGGGAATTTCAGTGGGACAAGTTGGGTTAAATGAAATCAGAACCCTCTCCCATCTCTGATTTCCTGAGAGCAAGGCCATCTGTGAACCTTAAAGAAAAAAGCAATAGGAATGTCAGCTTCTTCTGAAGCTCTCATTTTCAGTAAGTGTTAACAGAGGAGATAACATTACAGCCTTCATCTTCATTTTATGCAGGGATTATTCACTGAAGAGCTGTGACATGAAGGAAAATTTAAGAACACCATTTCAAAAGAGAAACAAGAAGGGTTGGAATCAAATAAATTTAAACAAGTGTCTTCACGCAAAAATTGCCATGGCAACACTTGGCTTTTATCCTTTTCCCACACCCCCTCCTTATGAGTAAAAACTATTTCATATTTCTATTGGTGATGGCCCCTACTCCATTTTTCTTCATTGTGACACCCTGGTGCAGCGTATAATGATTTTAACCTAAAAGTGGAGATGCAATGCATGGACTGGCAATCCCCATCTTTTCCTTACAGCAAGGCTGATCTGGCTTGATATGCAGCTAATTTTAAATTGGCTCTTGTATAGAATATGGTCTATCACACTAATGAAGAAAGAATGTGCATTTGTGTTGCTGATTACAATTTTTTGTTCTAGCAGCAGCAAAAACATGGGGTTTTTTTAAATCAGAAAGCACTGCTAGTGGATCACATGTTTTAAATAAAGAACACTGGCATTGTAACTGGATTATTCAGCACTGAAAAATGAATGCTTATATTGCTAAGTAAATGATGAGTCATAAATTTCAGAAATACCCCATGCAGTGCCGGCATGATTGAATGCTGCAGCACTGGAGAGAAACTTTGCATTTACACCTTTAGTTACTATCAGAGTCTCACAGATTGCTATCAGTTTCCAGAGTCAGTGGGATATTTGTACTAAGAAAAAAAATGCACAAATGCCTAGCATATCTGTGCTTAACTCAACCTGAAATACTCAGATGAGATCTTCCTGTATTTAAAAGATTATCTATAGGCTGGTTGATTGACCTCGTCAGGGCTTGGAAGCTAAGCAGGATTGAGCCAAGTAAATCCCCAGGAAACACCAGGTTAGACTTGGAGAATGAAAACCCCCCGCTCTGAATGAAAACAATGGTTCATCCCTTCTAAGAAAACCACAAAAACATATTCATAGTCACACCAAATCCTCCCAATTTAAGGGAAATTTTATTTTTATAGGATAAATCAATATTCTGCTGGAATTAACTGGGATCTTTTACTTATCCCAGCAAAAGCTTCTCCTGAACACAATTTTAAAAAAAACCCACTAGAATTGATATAGAGTAACTTGCAATCCCTCCTCACCCACCCACCCAAACTATCCAAGTCTTGTATAATGTAATATGGTGATCCTTCAAGACTTTGTCTACACCAAATTTAAATGAATCGGGGAGAGGCATAGGCATTACTGCTGGATTACAGATGTCCTGGCATTCATGGATACTGTGCATTGCTAACCCGTTTATAAGATATATATTTTTCTTTTCTTTGTAGGCCAATTGAAAGAGAGTTTTAAAGGTTGTCAAAGGTCTGTGTGGATGACAATCACTGTATGATCTTGAGAAATGAATTCCACAACGTATGGCAACCATAGAGAAAGCAATGGCTTTCATAGGAAGAGACTCCCATCAGGGGTGGCCTTCTATCAGGGGTCTTAGGAAAAAGGCTATTTAGGGCTTTCAGAGTAGTAAAATCTTATATTAAATGGAAAGAAATTGCAACAAGTATAAAGATTTCAACATTGGTATAAAATGATCTCTTTGGAATTAATCTTAATTCCAAAGATTAATTTTATACTACTTGAAGCCTCCAAGAGATACACAAGAGTTTATTAGGGAAATCAAACCTGAAAGTTTGAGGTTATTATTATCTAGGAAAAACACAAATGGTCCAATAGCCAAAGCTGATAAAATGTACGCTACAGATGAAACTCGAAAAATTAGAAAATTGTGCAAAAGTTCATTATTTCAGTAATGCAACTTAAAAGGTGAAACTAATATATGAGATAGACTCATTACGTGCAAAGCATAATTCAAGCTGTGATGTGTCATAATTGAGATGATTATGGCTTACAGCTCATGAAAACCCCAAATCCACAATCTCAGAAAATTAGAATATTGTGAAAAGGTTCAATATTCTAGGCTCAGTGTGTCCCACTCTAATCAGCTAATTAAGCCATAACACCTGCAAAGGGTTCCTGAGCCTTTAAATGCTCTCTCAGTCTGGTTCAGTAGGAATCACAATCATGGGAAAGACTGCTGACCTGACAGTTGTGCAGAAAACCATCATTGACACCCTCCATAAGGAGGGAAAGCCTCAAAAGGTAATTGCAAAAGAAGTTGGATGTTCCCAAAGTGCTGTATCAAAGCACATTAATAGAAAGTTATGTGGAAGGGAAAAGTGTGGAAGAAAAAGGTGCACAAGCAGCAGGGATGACCGCAGCCTGGAGAGGATTGTCAGGAAAAGGCCATTCAAAAGTGTTGGGGACTTTCACAAGGAGTGGACTGAGGCTGGAGTCAGTGCATCAAGACCCATCACACACAGGTGGATCCTGGACATGGGCTTCTAATGTCATATTCCTCTTGTCAAGCCGCTCCTGAACAACAATGTCAGAAGCATCTTACCTGGGCTAAAGAAAAAGAGAACTGGTCTGTTGCTCAGTGGTCCAAAGTCCTCTTTTCTGATGAGAGCAACTTTTGCATCTCATTTGGAAACCAAGGACCCAGAGTCTGGAGGAAGAATGGAGAGGCACACACGGCAAGATGCTTGAAGTCCAGTGTGAAGTCTCCACAGTCTGTGTTGATTTGGGGAGCCATGTCATCTGCTGGTGTTGATCCACTGTGCTTCATTAAGTCCAGGGTCAATGCAGCCGTCTACCAGGAGATTTTGGAGCACTTCATGCTTCCTTCTGCAGACGAGCTTTATGGGGATGCTGACTTCATTTTCCAGCAGGACTTGGAACCTGCCCACACTGCCAAAAGCACCAAAACCTGGTTCAATGACCGTGGGATTACTGTGCTTGATTGGCCAGCAAACTCGCCTGACCTGAACCCCATAGAGAATCTATGGGGCATTGCCAAGAGAAAGATGAGAAACATGAGACCGAACAATGCAGAAGAGCTGAAGGCCACTATTGAAGCATCCTGGTCTTCCATATTACCTCAGCAGGGCCACAGGCCGATAGCTTCCATGCCACGCCGCATTGAGGCAGTAATTGCTGCAAAAGTGGCCCAAACCAAGTAGTAAGTACATATGCATGCTTATACTTTTCAGAGGTCCGATATTGTTCTATGTACAATCCTTGTGTTATTGATTGCATGTAATATTCTAATTTTCTGATATTGTGGATTTGGGGTTTTCATGAGGTGTAAGCCATCATCATCACAATTATGACAAATCACGGCTTGAACTTTCACCTGTAAGCACAGACTCCATCTGTTCTAAAACTGTTGCTTTTTAGTGAATTGATAGCAGCAGTTTCTTCCAACTGTTCTATGGCTCATACAGTTCTGATACTAACTTTTATCATTCTGCAAAGCAATCTATTTAAATGTGGACTTCAGAATATTGGGGAATGGCTATGCTGGAAGATACCCAAAGATTAAGGTCTCTCATTTTACAGCCATACAAAAAAGGAAGATCGATCCAAGCACTCATCCACACACCACTTCACTTTTTATACATACAGTCTGTCAAGATAGACTGTCAAATATGCCCCACCCCCTCCATTTGGGAAAAATGCCTATAAATTTAAAGAACGGTTTTGTAAAATAACAAATATGACTCACTACCAAACATAAGTTGAGTCACACATTCTAAGAGAAAACAAAACCCCAAGGTTGCTATTCCAAGCTATTGCCATGTATGGTCAATTTACTGATTTTGATTTTTCTATATTATAGTTTACTATTTCAATAATAGGTAAGATTACTATTAAATTCAGCAATGGGAAAGGCAGAGTGACAGCACTGCTCTATAGAAAAATGGTATACATGAATATGAAACTCCCCTTGGAACAACTGACAAATAATAGGTTAATTACACATAAAGACTGCTTTAGATTTTGATCAAAACTGTTACTAAAAAAACATAATGCACTGGCAATTCTTCAACAATTATGTAGCAAAGGAAAGAACAAAAAATATAGCATGCCATCTTTCCCATCTCTCCAGACAAGGAAGCCCAGATTTTTTAAAAAAGAGATGCATTATTCTTTGCTAAGAGAGTCCAAAATGACCAATACCAATTTTCTCCCCAATCCCCACCCCAAATATCACCTTGGCCTCAAAATTAACTGTGACTACATCTCATTAAAAACAATGGAACATATATTAAGTTACATTGCTAATAAACTGCTCCCATAATTTGTAGTGGGTTGCGGTTATGACTAACATTTCCACCCAAGCCCTGATAGAAAGAGAAATAATCAATTGACACAAGAATGTTTCTCATTGGAAGTGTGCTTCCACCATGTTTATTGAATTGCATGAACAGTTAATTAAGAAATTAAGATCCACTCATATTGGATCTTAATTTAGAGCAAGGTTTCATCTTTAAGTTTCTCTCTGCTATAACTCATACTTGAGTTGTATTTCATTTAAAAATATATTTTTAAAAACTCCTATATCCAAATGCAGTGCCTTTCCACAATGTGACTGCTTACACTTGGTTTTTATGGCTGAGGACTTCTAGGTCAAAATATATGATTTCTTGCTGCTCTGGTCAATGGGAAGCAGGGGTGGGTTTCTACCGGTTCTGTCCACCTCTGTAGAACCGGTAGCTCTGAAGAGCAGCAGACATAGAACCGGTTCTATGTCTGCTGATGTTTTTGCCCACCCGGGTTCTTACCTGACCTTTATTTCCTGATTTTTTCAACTTCAGCTGCTGTGCGAAGCACAGCTGCAGTTAAAAAAGCAGGAAAAAAGGGCTTTTTCAAAGGCTGCTTCTCTGCATGCAGCGTGCTGATGACGATTTACAGGCGCGTGCCAGCAGCGTGCAAGGAAGCACATCGTAAATCACCGAACCTCGTAAATCACCGAACTGGTAGTTAACCCTGTCAGATCCCACCCCTGATGGGAAGTGAGGGAAATTAATCACTGCTCACAAGGTCCAGTTTTCCCATTAATCCTACAGATTTGTTTATAGGATCCAAGGAAATTTTTAGGAAAGGAGGGAAATACTTTGAGCCAAGAATGCTCAATGATGATTGATGTTTCAAAGGAAGCATTGGAAGTGGTCAGTTGTGCAAAAGTGTTCTTTTCCCGCAACAATTTCACTCCTCTCCTTTGTTCCTCCTGGATATGGTTATCCATGCTTCTTCCTTGGGTGAGGTAACCAGCTCATACTTAGTGTCAATGACTTGACCTTCTACAGGCTGCAGGTGGAGTTTCCTCACAATCACGCTCAGAAGAACCATAGCAACTGTACAGGCAAACCTAGCCATGAAAAAAAGATCAGGCAAATAATTGGAACTCATAGTTAAAGAAACAGAAAGATACCCATGGAAGGAACTCACTTCTTGCTACCGTAGGCATCTGAATCCTTCCCAAAAAATCTCTGATAGATTAGCCACCCTTCAGACAGTGTGGAATGAGAGGCTAAAGAAGGAGGGATGGGTGTTTTAGACTCATTTGGGAGATTTTCCTCCTGCCACAACTTCTTGATGTTTTTCTAGAAGCTCTTTAATATTCCTTCCAACCCTATTATTCTATCTTCTATCTTCTAAGAACATCAAGAGGCTTTTTACAGATCTCAGAGAGCTACAAGAAGAAGAGAGTATTGATTTTCCTCCCCTCTATATAGAGCATATCCCTCCCCCTCCTTTAAAAAAATATTATTACTTTTCTCTCACCTCAGTTCAGGGCATTCCTGACTTCCTGAAAAACCCAGGAGAGAGAAGTTTTTTATAGCAGCTTCATCACTGAATCTGTCTGGATCAAATCTATCAAAAAGAAAAGAAAAAGATCAAAAGCCACCCACTCCTTGAAATGAGCTACAAGAAATGTGAATTGGTAATTAGGAAGCTCTTCAGCAGAGAATACCCAAGGCCGCCTGCATCCACCCAATGTACATTTTCTGATTTGGCACAATTTGGTGAGAGACAGAGCTGCTATCTCTTTCTCCTTTCTTCCCTTCTTTCTCTGCTGCTTGCACCAGGCCACCTCCATTTTTTAAATCCAGCTGGCCTGCAAGCAAATGTGTGCTCAGCAGCAGATGATTCATTAGAAAGAAAAGCATGTTTCACAGTCACAGTTGGGAAGGAGGGGAAAACAAGCAATTATCCAGCCTCACCTAAAACTAACAGTAGGGTTTTCATAATTAAAGGATGGACAAAAGCAATCAAAAGGATGCCTGGTTATTTACTTTCACACAACTCCACCCCACCCCCACCACAATATTTATTAAAATCTGTAGTGTAGCACATGTGTGTTTTTCATTAACTTGATATTTCATTGGGCAATAAATTTTCTATTCTTCAACCCTTCAGCTGTCTGTTGGCTGTACCTCATCATGTTCCCTTAAAAGGCCAACCATATTCTGCAGGGAAATAGCAAAGTCTGGAAAAGCTGTTTTGTTTGATGTATACCTTAATTTGTTTTAATTAGTAGAGTTTAAAGAGTTAGATTGTAAATGGTGATGCCTGGCTGATGTTCATATAGCTTTTTTTTTGGGGGGGGGGGGGCAATCAGACCTTTCTGAACTCATCTCCTAACCCAAACAAAATATCTTTGATGTGGAATGAAGAATGCATTTGTACAAGCAGTGATCAAGAAGTAATGTTATGCCCAGAGAGATATACATGACAAGAAACAACTTCCCTGAAGTCAGAGGAAATTCTGTACTTTACACCAGTGGTCCCCAACCTTTTTTGTACCAGGGACCAGTTTCAAGCACAAACACTTTTTCAAGGACCGGGGGGGGGGGGGAATCCGAGTTTGGTGGTTTGCTTGCAGACGTTTCATTACCTGACTAGGTAACATCTGATGTTGTTACCTAGTCGGGTAATAAAACGTCTGCCAGCAAACCACCTCGGCCCTGCCTCCCTCAGCCCCATCCCTCAGGTGTCTCCCTCCCTCCCTCCCTCCCTCAGGTGTCTGCCTCGTTCCTCTCTCAGTCGCTCTCTCGCTGCTCCACCAGCCCAGGAAGAAACTGCTTCAAAGAAACCGGGGTGGTGGTGGTGGTGGTGGCTTTTCCTGTCGCCGCAGCTCCTCCGAAGCGCCTGTTCACCCCCACCCCCACCCCGCCCACCCGCGGTTCAATCCACAGTACTCCGTTCTGCCTGCCTGCCTGCCTTCTTCGTTTCGGAGCAGCTTCAGCTGATAAAAAGAGGTGAATAGTTATTATTCTCAGCCGAAGCTGCTCCCAAACAACCAAACAGGCAGGCAGGCAGAACGGGGCACTGAATTGAACCGCGCGCGCGCGGGCGGGGTGGGGGTGAACGGGCGCTTCGGAGGCGCTGCGGCGACAGGAAAAGCCACCCCCCCGGCTTCTTTGAAGCAGTTTCTTCCTGGGCTGGTGGAGCAGCGAGAGAGTGACTGAGAGAGGAACGAGGCGGGAGGAAACCAAAGCCGCTGAGCCAGAGAGCAGGACAGGCTTCGGTTGCTTCCTCCCTCCCCTTCTCTCATTTGTGTCCTTGATCCCCGATCCCAGCAGCATTCACCGAAGGCGAAGAAAGCCGCCATTTTTTTAATTTTTTTTTTCTTTGCGGCCCGGTACAGAGTGCTCCACGGACCGGTACCGGTCCTCTGCCCGGTGGTTGAGGACCCCTGCTTTACACCCACCTGTAAAGAGTGTGAGAAATGCTGCAGTACCCAGCATTAGCTGCAAAGCCTAAATCCAAGATTCCTTGCAGAGGATAAACCCAGGGTACTTAGTCCAGTAGTTGCAAGCATCATATTAAAAACAAAGTAATTGATTTTTAAAGGAACTCTAACATTTGACACTCAGCATTCTCCAAGGAGGCTCGGCCTCTCTACCTTTTCATTCCAGAGAAAATGATGCTGGGACTATTTATTTTCCTTGAACTAATATTTGCCATTGAAAGATGTTATAAATGAATTCTGTTACTGGAAATGACAGCAACTTTTCGGAGGTGGCTCTTCTGCTTCCCCCCAAAGTAATGGTTCAGTTTCCAGAGCCAGATTATTTTTTTATTTTTTTAAGCTGTTTGGTTAATTTTATTTCAATCAATTCTATCATATTATCCCCTTGGATTCAAAATCAATGTCTTCATTTAAGCTCCCCGGTCCTGCCTCTACTTGACTGAATGAAATTAAACGTTGCCATTTGGAGGCATTACAGTGTTTTCTTCTATTCAAATTTTTAACAGAAGAATACATTTTGAATAGAATAAATAAATTTGGAATTCAAATTTTGAGGGCAAAATTGTTCTTCTGTGGCCATATCTGGAAATAATGATGTAAAGCTTTTGACTGGTTCACTCCATCCTTTAAATTGCAATGTCAATATTTTTTAAAATTGACAAATGCACCTCTTAAAATCTTTTGCTGAGAAAATAATGCATTTGGATAATTCTACTTTTTTATCTGCTGGGTTTTTTCTTTACATGCATTTTGTTGCTGTTTTCAAATATGAAATTCTACACCTACATTTTACATGGAGTAGCCCAGAAACCATGTGTCATGATATAGTTCTATTCTTGGTACTATTCATATAGTACCAAGAGACAGAATTTAGCAGGGAAAAATGAATTTACATTAAGAAACATTATTATCTAAGTTTTCTATGTTCCATACTTGTAGGGCAATGGCCAAACTGAGTTGTCCTGCAAGACCACACCAAGTGCATATAAGACAAGAGTCTGTAAGAGAATATAAAAAGCATATTAGCCCACTGACATGCACAATATTATCACATTACATGCACAAACTAGTAGTCTATTATGTGCATAAATAGCTGTATAAATACATGACAGAGATATATTTTCTTTGCTTTAACTTCAATTTAGATCCTTAATGCAAAACTAATCCAATCTGGAAGAAAAGAAGAGATCAGGGACAGAAAAAGGTGACAGCAGCCAAGTACCACAGAACCTCTAAGAGAAATTTGCTTTACGAAAAGCAGTATCACAATGACAGCATTTCAAGACAAGATGGACCATAATAATTCCAAATGAGTATGTGTGTAATCATCTATAGCAATTGCTGCATTTTACAAGAGGAAAAAGACAGTGACAGAAGTGATTGAAACCAAATGTTTTTTTCCAGCTCTTTGCTTGAAATCAGCTCCTTTCACTACTTTTCTCAAAGTCTGATGCTTTATAATCTCACCTAAAGAAATTAAGTCATAATCTGATTTATAAGGATGGTGAAGATATTCTGGAACTGATGTCCAAGTAAATATGGCAATAAACGGATCAATTACAGTGGTTATATTTTTGTTGGAAATGGCACAAGCAAGGATGGACTATTTATATTTTATTGATCAAAACTCCTACTAATTTGGAACAAAAGATATAACAGCAATATTCATGTACTATATCTCTCCCTCTTATTTGTTAACAGGGATGGAAAACTTCAGGATGAATGTGGCTCTTTCAGGGACCATTTTATGGTCCCAAGAGCGACTTGGTCACCACTGCCAATTTTTCCTTTTCTTACATTAAGAAAGTGATTACAGCAAGCCTCAGTAAGATTTCATGCATTTATTCTGTTCCCCAAGCATCTCTCCCAAGTACTTTATGAACAGCTAAAACATCCATCTCCCCTCATTCTAATGATACAACTGCATTACTATAACTCAGCACAGAGCACTATACATTTTATTATTAATAGCTTTCTTACTAAATTGGTCAGTTTAACAGCTATGAATAAATCCTTCATCTTCACGTATAACCAAATCTATTCATTTGTATCCTGCCTTTATTGTGTTTGAAAATAATACAAGGCAGTGAACATATCCAGCATGCCTTCCTCTTCCTGTTTGCCCATAACAACAACCCTGTAAGGTGGGTTGGGCTGAGAGAGAGTAACTGGTCCAAGGCCACCCAGGTGGATTTCATGGCTAAAGCAGGATTAAAACTCACAGTGTCCAGCTTTCAAGCCTGATGCCTTAACCACTAGATTGAACTGGTTCTCATGATCATGATCCAGTTATTCTCAATTAAGAATGTTATTGGTATTCTATTTAGAGGAAAAGGAAAACTTTGCTTAATTGAATCTTTCCTGGCTAAATTAGGTTTATAAACACAGAGACCATACAAAGCACCTGAATGACTTAACAAAACACTCAATCATATAATGGTTTATTAAACCAAAAATACATTTGAATTCAGTTGAATATAGACCCATTTTGGTTGTTTAATTATTGGGTTTAGTTGCCATTTTATATATTGGGTAGGTTTTTTTTAATATTACATGGTTATTTGGGTGTTTAGTGTTTGGTGTTTGTTTGGATTTTTTTGCTATACACCAGGGGTCTCCAACCTTAGCAACTTTAAGTCTTGTGGACCTCAACTCCCAGAATTCCTCAGCCAGCAAGCTGGCTGAGGAATTCTGAAAGTTGAGGTCCACAAGTCTTAAAGTTGCTAAGGTTGGAGACCCCTGATCTAGAGTCACATTGCTTGAGATGGGAAGTATTATCAATGTTTTTTGAATCAGCGCACTGAAAAAAAGAATTCAGAGTTCTGGTTTACATGGCCACTAATGTGCCTCTCTTTAAAAACAAAGTAACATTCTGTCTTTGTATATTTTCTCTTTCTTGGAAGCCTCCCAATTAAAATGGTAATTTCACTGAAATTGAAGATCAAAGCACCAGCTTCCAATCCTACCTCCTTGGGAATCAGATGCTGATCAACTCTGCCTTCCAGCTCCTGAAGTCGGGCAGCAATTGGGGTTAGTTTTGCTGTCCTCACTGTCTCATTCAAAACCTGCCGGCAATACCTGCAAGCACAACATTTCCAAGGTTTTCATTTGATTAAAAAAGAAAAAAAAAAGAATCCTAAAACACACACATTCCTATAACTTCCAGAGACCGCATTCAAACAAGAATCAGATTAATGAACATTAACCCAGTCATGGCACAACTTGTGTTATAATAATCAGTTCTTGGATGAATTACATGCCACTTGGCTGGAGTTATCCATTTAATATTCCCAATTTTATTCTGTTTCTTGAAGCTCAAATGGTTACTTGTTGGTTGAAGCACTTCTTCCCCATCCCTAGCAAATTCTCTTCCATCTCTGTTCTAAATCAAAGTACAGTGCCACTCATGGATCACTTAGATCTCAGCACCCTTTTAAATACTTTTAACTACATAATTAGGGGAAGGGGGGAAATAGCTCAGAAAATTCCAGTCTTTCACAAATGTGGCTTGGTGTCACCCATTTTGCATCACTGCTCTGCCTATTATTGCTCTCAAACACCCCATTAAGTATTGCCCCATTCACTAGATACAGGATATAAGATACAGGTAGTCCTCGATTTACAACAATTCATTTAGTGACTGTTCAAAGTTACAATGGCACTGAAAAAAGTGACTTATGACAAGCTTTTCATAGTTAAAACCTTTGCATCATCCCCATGATCATATGATCAAAATTCATATGCTTAGTAACTGGTTCATACTTATGACTATTGCTGTATCCCAAGGTCATATGCACCTTTTGCAACTTTCTGACAAGCAAAGTCAATGGAGAAGCCAAATTCACTTAACAGCCAGGCTAGTAATTTATCAACTGCAGTGATTCACTTAATTGTGGCAAGAAAGGTCATAAAATGGAGCAAAACTATCTTAATAAATATCTCACTTAATAACAGAAATTTTGAGCTCAATTGTGGTCATAAACTGAGGATTACCCATGTACTGGAATGGGTCAGCTAATTCACATGGCAAACTCTGTCTTAAATTAAGCATATTAGCAATATACTACAATACTAGGGTTCAAATTGATTTTGAAAAGTGATAAATTGATAGGGCAAGAAGAAGGATCCTCTTCTCACATCTTGTTAAGAGATCAGGAGCATGATATTTGCTGACACTAAAAAAATGAGTATAAAAAGACCCACACCTAAGTTGTTCAATTTTCACATGTGTAACAGGGCTCTTTCCAAGAACCTGATCCAACTCCTTGTAAAGCTTTTGCTGAACTTCTTTTGAGGTAGTTAACAAATAGACCACCCACGTACACACTAAAGAAAGGGAAAAAAAGAGAAGCATCAGAGAATAAAAGTCTTTATACAATTCACAGTTCATGTACTGAAATTAGGAAAAAGCAACCCCCACTGAGTAACTCAATAGAAAACTCAGGCCAGATGAAGCAGTATGTAGAAAGAAGTATTAGGTGGCCTGTGAGAAAATGAACAAACATAGGTGATTAAACTATTTAAAGGCTGAGTAGACTTTTGACGTAATCTACAGTTTAACAATCAGAGAACCTTTTGTGAAGTGTACAATTTGTACCATAGTTATTATTTTAGTCATCATTATCTTTGCTCTCTAAAATATCCCCACATAAAGAGGCTTGAAAGACAATGGCTTGACTAAAACTAGTCAGTGAGTTTAGAGTTAAGACCTATAATTCATAATTTCAGATATATCCAAGCATGCAAACATCTATTCATCCATCCTCCATCCTTTTATCTCCCACATCATTCAGTCATTCCAAACTCTTTTATATCACAAACGGCTCACAAACTGCTCACCCCCACCAAAATGTTCCATGTGCTGGCAACACCACATTTGGCACCACTTAATAGGCTCTATTTCACTTAATATTTCTTAATTAAAAGCAAAAGTTTCACTGGAAAGTGTCAGCCTGTGGCATAAGCTTTGTGTCAATTCTGAATTTAGTTTGGTGGTGGAATCGTATGAATTCAATTTGACATATTTGAGAAATGGAGCGGGGGAGAACTGAGGCGGATGAAGCTCCAGCCAAAACAACATAGCTGGGTGAAGAGTCAGCTGCATTCCAAACTGCTGCTTGGCCAGAGAAAGTTGCCAGGAAATTATTTTATATCCTGGTTGGACAATGTGAGTTATTGTTTTGGAAAAATGAGAACCTTCTAATTATAGTGATGTGGAAGCCTGGTAAATCTTCAGTACTGGCTTCCACCAGTTCGTGCCAAGATGTGTAATTAGAATAAAATAGTTATTCGAGGAATTAGAATGCCTCTGAGTTTGTTTTGTGGTGATTGCATTACTTGGAATCTGACACTAAGCCAGTACTCTAAAACCATTGCTCCAATGGGGCTACATTCTGGGGTCCTGAGCCCCAGCTGCTCCCTGGATACTCCAGGGGGACAGAAGACTCAGGGAAGATTAATTAATGGAGGGGAGGAAGTAGAATCAGTGGGGATGACAGTGGACCCCTGAGCGAGCATCGGGGTCCCATTGGCACTCGATGGCAGATCGGAGTGGCGGTGGAGACTGACCAACTGAGAGACGGGTTACTCAATGGTCTGAGGCTAGTCGAAAGAATTCCCAGCTGAGATGAGGAAGATAGCTAGCTGGCTGAATCGTCCCGGGAATTGGCAGGAACCTTGGTGGGCCTGCGGCAGGAGGAACCGAGGGACGTCACCCACCAAGGAAGAAGCACTCTGGGTGAGCCTGGATTACCCAAATCCACCCTTCCCACAGCCTATGATAGCTACATGAGGTGTTTCCTGAACTACCTTGGCAGGATGGAGCATGACAGTCAAAGCCCAAAGCCGAACCCAACATGGTAGGGGGAGGTAGCTGCTTTCCTGACCGTCAACAGCCCTAGTCGTCAGGGCTAGGACAGATCGGTGGGAGCTATGACCTGGGGCTGGCTGGGGATATGCCCCTGGATCCTTGTCCCCTGCTCGCTGTAGCCACCAGAGAAATTATACTCTTAACCGGTACCGGACATTTTGCAGCTGATCGAAGCCGTCCCCGTGGGCCCAAGCAGGCTGGTGGATTCCCCATTGGCCAGAAGAAGCACCCACCCAGCTAGTGGGTGGTCCCGGAGCCAATTACCAACATCCAGGGCAGCCGATGATGACCAAGGCGAGGCCCAGGGAGGAAGAGACGGTGCCTGATGGCGAGGGCAGAGTTCTAGCTCAATTGGAAGACTTTCCCACAGAATAGCTGACCGCCTGACCGCGGAGCCAAGCCCAGCTTCTGAAGTGACGCAGAGCCCCGGTCGGACCCAAGGGAGTTTCTGGAGCCCTCAGCAACCAGTCCCTGGGTGAGTTGGGTCCTGAGGGTAAGAGGACTGTCCCAATATTTACATGCTCGGTGCAGAAGTGACTAGGGCCCCTGCCTAAGATGCAGCCATTAGGGTGGAAGTATCTCACTGCGCCCGACAGGGAAGCCTTGGGGGAGATTCCTTGCCAGTCAGCTGAAGAGCTGGCGGAACTGCGAGGAACCTACCCACAGTCAAAAGATAAGTCTGAAGAATTGTAAGAATCCCTCTCCCCTCCAACCAAGGAAGCCACGAGACGGCTGGGGCCTACTGCCAATGGCCCCACACCAGAACGGGTACTTGTGGTCCGACGAGGGGAAAAGAGACCCTGCCTGGGAGATGAAAAAGGGGAGGATTTGCCCTGCAAGCTGTAGAAGTACCTGCCTCCTCCCTCCTGAGGAAGACAAAACCTTACTGACCTACGACAGTGATGATGATGGTCCTATAGTGAGTCCATTCCCCCTTTCACTGTGCCAATACTGGGGGTCAGGGGGAAGTAAAAGCAATTATTGACATGGGTTGTACCTGTTGCCTGATCAGCCTGGCCACTGTCCTAAAACTGGGCATCCGAACAAAGATGACCTAACCCGTAAGTTTTGGATGGGTCACTAATTGGGGACCTCCCAGTATCACTTCTTACAGAAGCTGTGAAGATGGAGATGGGTCAGCACAGAGACAGACTCCACTTCATCATGGCACCAAAGATGAAAGTGCTGGTCATCCTGGGGTTGGCATGGTTGGACAAGTGGACCCCGCCTATCACATGGCAGGGTGGTTACCACACGCTCAAGATAGCAGTGGGGCCTAACCCCCTCATCTGAACATTGGGGGGGGGGGGTCCTACCCAACCCCAGTCCAACAAAGCCAAGAACGAGAGCACCACAATGGCATCGCAACCGGTCCCAGGTGACCGACAAATCCCTAGGGAATATCGGGACTTAGCAGAGGTGTTCAGTGAGGACAAAGCCAGTGTGTTGCCACCCCATCACCCCACTGACTGCACCATCAAATTTGTGCCAGGAGCTAACTTACCCAAACCAAAGATGTACTCCATGACCCCTAAGGATGAAAGAGTTTAGAAAGTACATCAATGAGAACCTGGCTCACAGATTCATCCAACATGCAAAATCCAAAGTAGCCATCCCAGTCCTCTTCAAAGAGAAGGACAGGTCGATGAGGCTATACATGGATTTTAGGGGGATCAACACCGTATGTGTGCCCTCTCCTGCTCATGAAGGACACGTTGGCCCACCTGGCCAAGGGGAAGGTGTTCACTAAACTGGATTTATGAGAGGCATACTACAGAGTGCGAATTAAAGAAGGTGACAAGTGGAAAACAGCCTCGGTAGCTTCCAGTTCAGAGTAATGTCTTTTGGGTTGCAAGGGCTCCTGCTGTCTTCATGCAACTCATAAATGAGGTGCTGCATGAGCACCTATACGAAGAGGTCCTCTTTTACCTGAATGACATTCTCATTTTCTCCAAGACCTTGGAAGAACATGTGAAGTTAGTGCGCCAAGTGTTAAAGAAACTACTAGCAGCCAAGCTGTATGCAAAACTGTCAAAATGCAAGTTTCAAAAAGACTAGACTACCTGGACTACCGAGTGTCTAGTGAGGGGATAGAGATGGATCCAGAGAAAGTAAAGGCAGTTCTGGACTGGCAAGCTCCACGCACCCATCGGCATTTGCAGAGTTTCCTGGGATTTTCAAACTTCTATTGACAGTTCATCCCAAATTTTGCCGAGATTGCCAAGCCAAGCTATTGAAAACGGGGAAAGGCCTGCAACAGCCACGACCAACTCAACCCTTAAGTTGGACTTTAGAATGCCAGAAGGCTTTTGAACAGTTGAAAAGACTATTTGCTAAGCCTATCCTCAAGCACCCAGACTTGGAGCAGCCCTTTGTGATCCAAGCTGATGCCAGTGATGTGGCTGTCACAGCAGTCCTTTTCCAGAAGAACGCAGAGGGTAACTTGCATCCTTGCGCATACACTTCCAAAAAACTGACGGAGACTGAGTGGAGATGGGCCGTATGGGAAAAGGAAGCATATGCAGTCCGATGGGCCCTACTGACCTGGAGACACTTCCTGGAGGGCAATGCAGTGCCTTTTGAAATATGGACTGATCACAAAAACTTTGAGGCACTGAAGACTCCACATAAACTCTCTCCAAAGCAGGTACGTTAGGTGCAGTATTTTAAATGTTTCAACTTTGAACTAAAGTAAATCCCAGAGGGAAAAAAACATTTTAGCTGATGCCCTATCATGCAAACTGCAATACCACCCCACGAGGGAAGAAGTGATCCATCCAATAATTTCCCCTTCCCAGCCAGCATCATGTTAACCCGAGGCCAGGCAGCCCTTAGAAGGACCTTGGATGTGGGGGGATAACCCAAAGGCTAAAAGATAAGCTGCTAACTGTCCAGTTGTTACAAGGACAATCCGGGGATACTAACCCTGAAGGATGGTCTAGGCTGGAAGGGATCAAAATTATATATGCCTAGCAGTTTGTGACTCCAGGTTCTTAAGCAAAGCCACGATTCTAAGCAAGTGGGGCATTTTGGCTACGTAAAAACCCTGCACCTGACTTGAAGACAATTTTGGTGGCCAAAAATGAAAAAAGGCGTGGAGGACTATGTAAAAAGCTGTGCTACTTGTGCAATGATGAAAACGAGGCCAGGAAAGCCTCCTGGTTTGCTCTATTAAGTGGCAGATCCATCGCGACCCTGGGAAGAAATAGCTATGGACTTCATTGTTGAGCTCCCTCAGAGGGGTGGAAACACTGTCCTTTGGACCATAGTGGGCTTGTTCTCCAAATAGGCCCTTTGCAGCCTGCCTAGGACTCCTGTCTGCACAGAAACTGGCTAACCTATTTATCAAGCATATCTATAGGTTGCATGGAGTCCCCTGTAGAGTAATCTCTGATCGGGGGATTCAATTTACCGCTAGATTCTGGAGGGAATTCATGAGGGCTATTGGGTCCTTGCAGGGGCTTAGCTCAGCATTTCATCCGAGTACTAATGGTGCCGCAGAGAGAGCTAATGCCATCGTAGAGCAATGCTTAAGGTGTTATATAAATTATCAACAATCAGACTGGGCAGAGTTGTTGCCGTTTGCTGAGGTAGTATATAACAACGCAGTGCACAATAGTATCAGTCTGTCCCCTTTCCAGGTGACCAGTGGCATAGAGTTTGTTCCCATGCCTGAGCTCCCTAGGGAGCCACCCTCCTCCATGTTGCTAACAGAGTGGATGGAGTCATTGAAAAAAGCATGGGAAAATACCAAGCAGGCCCTGAGTGAAGCAGCAGAGGCCTATAAAAAGCAGGTGTCAGCTTTGGAATCCTTATTCATTGCTGCCACATAGCTTGAGAAAGTGGAAGGGGGGTAATTTTGTTGAGTAGCTCTAAGTAGACAAAATAGAATTCTTTTGTTAGTTCAAGGTCATAGAATGTGGCGCAGAAACAAAAAGGAACTTACTTTGGGATTGGTTCATGTGATGTGATGATGAGAAAAGGGGATGGTTTGTAGTTTGGGACATTGTGGGAAGTCCGGGAAACTTTTAGTTTTGAAATTCCACAGATGTGCCAGGTGCTATTCTAATAAAGGTAATTTGAGATTATGCTTGTCTTGGAGTTACTGATTGGAATGGAAGTTCCCTGGAATGCTAACAGCAGGCTGACAAACACTGCACTTCTCAACCAGAATTTAGGGTGGGGGACAAGGTGTACTTGTCCACAAAGTACCTGAAATTAAAATTGGCATCAAAAAAGCTTGGTCCTAAATATATGAGGCCATTTCCTATAATTAAAGTGATTATGCCAGTTACAGAACAACTTCAGCTTCCCTGGTTACTACGGAAAATACATCTGGTATTCCACAGTAGTCTGTTGAAACCGGTGATAAGTTCACAAGTTGGACCAGTGGATCAAGCTCCCCACAAACTGTTGGTGATTGAGAGTCAAACGCACTATGAAATAAAAAGGATCCTGGACTCAAAGGTACAGAGAGGCCAGTTAGAATATGTGATACATTAGAAGGGATACCCCCTATCTGAAGCAACCTGGGTTAAAAGCCGGAAGGTAAATATAGGTTGATAAAACAATTCCATGACAAGTACCCTCAGAAGCCGAAGGGACCTCCCGGTGGGGAAAGGGGAGGTTAGTGGCATGAGTGATAGTCTTTATGCTTTATGTCTTATAGGAACGTTCCTCCAGTTGGGGGAGGGGGCAGCCTGTCAAGCCTGAATTTAGTTTGGTGGTGGAATCATATGCATTCAGTTTGACACACTTGAGAAATGGAGGGGGGGAGAACTGAGGTAGATGAAGCTCCAGCCAGAACAATATAGCTGGGCGATGAGTCAGCTGCATTCCAACTGCTGCTGAGTCAGAGAAAGTTGCTAGGAAACTATTTTATATCCTGGTTGGACAATGTGACTTATTGTTTTGGAAAAGTGAGAACCTTCTAATTACAGTGACATGGAAGCCTGGTAAATCTTCAGTACTGGTTTCCACCACTTCGTGCCAAGATGTGTAATTAGAATAAAATAGTTCTTTGAGGAATTAGAATGCCTCTGAGCTCATTTTGTGATGACTGCATTACTTGGAACCTGACACTTTGTTCATCAGATCCTGATAAGCTTTTTTAGAAAGTCAGCATAATGGGAGACTATATAATGGCACCTGTGCTCTGAAATAGCCCTACTAGCACTAGTGTTACCTAGTTTTGGTAATGAAATATCTGCAAAAAAAACAACAACCCCAAGCTTAAAGAGCACCTAAGACCCCTCATTTCAAGTCTGAGCTACAAATATTCTCCCTCATTAATGACTGGACATTGTCTAGTATTAGGGAGCATCTGCCAAGGTATCTTGGATACTGACATGGCTGCTATATGGAATTTCTGTATATTCTTTTCATTTTATCTTCAAGTATCAGTCTCTTCAAAAGAAAGGTTATAGAGTTATTTCAAAATATATGATAATCACCTCGGAAGGCAATTGCCTTAAAATATGAGGAAAATCATTAAATGCTATTTTGAGATCTGCCTCTAACATAACCTAAAGAATTCAGACAAGCACACCTCATGGCCAAGCAAAAGGAGATAAAGACCTTTTCTCCCTATATCATGAAATTTTTATTTATCCTGGGATACTGAGATTTTGCTTCTCCCAATCCCAATTTGTCAAGATTTACCATTTAAAAAGTTACCATTTTATTTACTTTACATGATGAGAAATTGAAATAAAAAATTTCAAGATATTTATCATTTATTTTGCTATTTCAGGCATAAGCCCAAGTTCCCTCCACCTGCCCTATTTTAACTTTTCACGTCCAAGAAAGAAAACACCTTGAATATTATAAAGGCCTGGAGCCTCTCAGCTTACAAACTAAATCAAATTATCTATAGTATTATGGAACAACAAGCACTGTGACAACATTAGGACTCCCTCCTCCCCCAATGATTTGCACTAAGCTATTTTATATACTTACATTTTGCAGTGATTATGGATCCTGCCAGAGAGAATATCATAGTGTCCTCCAAAATCTAGAAAATGAAAAGAATTTCATGAAGGAGGGAAAAAAGACAATGAGAGTGAGCGCCAAACCTAATATTGAAAATTTAATAAAACATTTTATATATGTCAAAGCAGATATGTCTGAAATGAATTCCAAATTAATTGTAGCTCCAGAAGAAATAGTTTCAAAAAGAAAGAAAATTATTAATTGTTAACAATATATCTTCCCTCTGCCAACAAAAAATATACATGGAAAAGTCTGTCAGTACCATGTACATTTAGAAGCTTCCTGTTATGAAGTCAACTGGCCTTCAGAGAACCCCAGCTGCACATAATGGAGATTGTTCAAATCAAAACATCTTCTCTGTGTCAAGCAAAATTCTCCTGAGAAACACCGCACATAGCAAAAGGACCAATCAATCAAATCTTTATTACATCTATAGACCAGCATAAGTATGCTTAACAAAAGTTTTCCTGCCCCCTCCTTTTCTGTAGAAAAATATATATTTTATCCTTTAAAAATTTCTAGCGAGAATCAAGGTACCAGGGCTACACAAAAGGAGATAAAGCTCATGAGCATTTGATTAAAGGGGAGAATCTAATAGAATTTGGAAGAACTAAGGGAAAAATAGGAAAGTTTGTTGTACTCTTCAGTTTGCCTCTGAAATAACGGCAACTTAAGTAACTGGAAATGTTGCATAAAATTACTTTTATTTTGGAATGCATGGTGCTTTATGGTGCCTGAGATAACCCTTTCTTATTTATATTTTCCTTTTTCAAATGTTCATTGATTATATTTCCTAATTAATAGACCAATTTCACTTTTTGCATGTAGTTTTGACTTTGGAGATTTGCTTGAGATGCTATGAGTGGCTTTCAGAGCTCTCTATTTTTACACTTTTTCTTTACATATTACCAATTAAAATGATTTTCTAGCCTTGTTTTTTAAAAAATAAAGTTAATTCTGTTATAGTGTATCATATGAATGATCACCCAAAGGAGGGGTGCTGATTTCTTTTGTCACATGCCTCCATACGCCAGTCAGGAAATAGCTATAAAAATAAAATAAGATTCATATTGGAATGTGCTGAAATGAGTAGATTGACATTTGAAATCAGAGAACAAGAGGATAAACAATTTTATAAAATTTGAGATCTATTCTATCAATGGTTAGACAATAAAACATGGTAATGAAATATGTAGATTCTTAGAAAATAATAAATATATAAAGATGTATTCTTTTCTTATTATATCTACAAAATCATTGTAGGATAGATTTGAGATGATAATATGAACTGTTATAAAACAAATTAAGTAAAATATGATTATTTCGTGAAACATGAATGAATAAAAGTATAATCAAATGATTGATTAACAATGATATTAATGTATTTAATACTTGATTGAAAATATGAGAATATATACAATGTAATTGTAATTGAAGACTACGAAATGGAAGCACAAACAATTTGTAAACCAACCGGCACACTGTATATATATATATGGAAGATGGCTTGATGTTTTTATGTTTTGTTTGTCTATGTTCGTCTTAAAAACCAATAAAAATAAAAAAATAAAAATAAAAAAAAAGATTTGGACTTCCGGTTTGAATTCCTTCGCCGACAGATCGAAACTGCGATTGTGCACGGTTTCGATCTGTGCTCATCGCCAGAACGCCCCGAGCCAGCTGGTTTCAGGGCTAAGCCACCCTGTAGAGGTGCTGAAGAGGGGGGAGACTGCCAGCAGGGTTGAGGAGAGCCACATCTCTCCTCAGCTGGCTTTACTCCCTTTCCTGAAGGCGGTTGCAGCAGTGGCCAGAAATGGCCACCTCAAAGAAGAACTCGACCGGAAAAGAATGTGCAGGAGGAAGATAAGAAGAGAAAGTTTTAGTTGACTGGGTTAAACTACAAAAGCAACAATGTAAGGTACCCTGGAATTTAAACTATAAAAAAATAACATTGTACCCAAAGAAGATTTTGAAGCAGCGAAGGAGAGAGGGAAGGGAAAGGATTTGGTTTTTTTTCTTCCCTTCCCTATACTGACAGCTAAGAGACTTAAGCAAGAACTTGAAAAAAAGTCCACTTTGACATCAATAGGCATTTAAGCTGAAAATAAAATGTCAAAGGGATAATAAAGATTTCTGGATACTTAAAAGCTTTTCAAAACAGGAAAGGACAGAAAAAGAATAAAAGGGCAGGATCTGGAAAATGGAGGAGACTGCCTGGAACTAAAAGGAATTTACAGTGAAACCTCAACAAGATTCCTAAAAGATACATTTTAACTGAAACTTGGCAACAAAATAATAGAACCCCAGGAAGAGAAAGTGGAAAAAAGAAGCAAGAAGAAACAGCTTTGGATTATTTGGATTACTTGGTGATCTTTGGATTTTTGTTTATTGCATTTAAATGACTAAAATCAATCGGGTGGTTGTTTAAAAGTGTTTAAAATGGCACCACTTTTAGAAGATCTGAAAATGGAACTTAAAAAGTACAAAGAAGATGCACAAGAGGGAGAGGTTCTTTTGGCTTCGTATTTCAATTCTTAGAAATGGAGATCTGGAACTATGAGAAACAACAAGAAAGGCTTGCAGAACAAGAAGATTGAGACAAAGAAGAAGCCATCTTTAATGATCAAGTAATTTTATGTGAGGGAAAAAAGGAAAGGGGGGAAGAGAATGAAAAGTTTAAGATTTGAAAAAACAACCAAAAAAAGAAGAATAGTTTGAAAAATAAGTATAATATTAGAAAGCAACAGAAGAGGGAATTACAGAAGAGAGAATTAGAAGTAGAGAGATAAGGGGGTAAAAAGGGGAGGGAGAAGAAGAGGGGGAAGAAGGAAAGGAAAATAAGTTATAAAGGACAGAAACAAAGATATAGAGAAACAGGGAAAAGGTATAAGAATTGAAAGTATAAGCCTGTTTAGAGATAATGGGTGAAAACTTAATTGTAAAAGGGATTCTGCAAAGGTACATAAGATAGTATTGTTATATTACAAATAGAAATAATTTTAGAAAATATGATTAAAATGATGGATAAAATATTTATCGTAATATAGTGGAATGTTTGTTAATAAATAAATGAAATAAAGTGAATGAGAGAATTAAATTAGGAAAGGATGGGAACATTTTAATTATTATTAATGATTTATAAAATATGTGAAGAGAAATGTGGGGAAAAAAAGAATTAATTATGGAAAGTTTATAAGTGTTCCCAAGGAGGTATGATATTTAATTGAAAAGAAATGTTAAAGATGTTAAGATTTTATTGAATATTAATAATAGAATTGAGTTGGAATGGAATGAGTGATATATATGTGTATGTGTGTGTGTGTGTGTGTGTGTGTTTTCTGAGGTTTTCGCGGGTATTTGTATGTGGATCTTTGGTTATTCGGGTTTTCTCCTGCATAAAATTGGAAGTATCTAGGCGACGTTTCGATGAAGTCTCATTCATCATCTTCAGGCTTGTGTCTTCGGCTTTGTGCTTCTCGGAGTTCTCGGAGTCCGAGAAGCACAAAGCCGAAGACACAAGCCTGAAGATGATGAATGA